TTTAATTTTAAAAGGTAATTAATTTAAGCAAAAATAATTAATTTGGTTTGAAGATTTTATTTCTGATAAGTGATTAATTAGCGTTCAAAAATAAATTTTTTATTTGAAAATCTAGATTTGGTTCAAATTTTCTGTGACCAACAAAAAACTTATGATTCCTTGAATGGATATTTAGTACATGATTCTACAGATGTAAAATAGTCTAAAATAGAAGATTGTAATGGAGTTTAAGTTCACATTAACCCTTTATAGTAAATAGGAAAATTTTAAATTATGATTAAGCATACTTTCAAAAGATTAGCTTTCTAACTTAAACTTATACATAACTTTAGGCAAATATGACAAAAATTTTATGTTACTTATCTCTGCCTAATAAATGTGACTACTTAAGTGCAGTATACAATAAAAATGGGGTTTTAATAATCAGCACTCTTTGAAAATAGAGGTATTTGTTGGAGTAGATATAACTAACCATTCATAAGAGTTTTATCACTGACCAAAGAACAAGTTGCTAGCTAACTAATATCTTGAGCTAATTATTTAACATAAACGAGAAGATACTCCTAAATTCTTATGCAATAAATATGCGAATGGTTTTTGTAAGCATGGTGGAATTTATGTTAATTATAGTGATAGCTTTTAGGATTATTTAAGTAAATTAAATCCTTCAAATTTTGTTTAGATTATACCATTAGATTAGTAAAGGTTTTATACTTAAGAACCTTAATATTCATATTAGCTATTTGAGTAAGAATCCATATAAATATATGATTGCAGTAAACAAGTATGGAATTTTATGTATAGAGCAATATAAAGTGAATGAATTGAATAAAATGCTAAGATTCAATAAAATTATATAATATTAATATATTTTTTTACTTTTTATAAAATTAAATGGTTTATAAATTAAAAATAAATAATTATTTTATTTGTATTTAGCTTAAATATTAATTTTTTTAAATACACATATTCTGATAGCTATATTATTAATTATACATTTTTTATTTTATTTTATTTTAGTTATAAAACCTTAAACTAATCGGTAAGTAAGTTATTCATTCTAATGTATATTTATAAAATAATTTTTGTATTTAAAAAATATCATAAATATCCATAAATATAAATATGATTAAATTATATAATTTTTTTTTACAACAACTATTTATAAAAGCTTAATTAAATAATTTTTTTTCAATTTTTAATTAAGAAGTAATACCACAATAAATGGATAAACTGCTTAATCAATCTAATTAAATAAAAA